GGGCTCAAAACAATGGGCATCATGCTAGACTTGAGGGGGGGGGGGCTCTAACAACCCCTCATAAATCTCATTTTATGGATACTTTCTAGCATCAGTATGATGGGGACAGCCAAATATGAAAGATGCTTTGTTTCGCTACTAGTAATTTTACTACACAAATTTACACACAATTTTCTCATCATGTTAGAATATTTATTCTAGCACCATACATTTACCACTGCATCTGAAAAAATCCACTGCAATAAATGTGACACTTGCATGAACAAAATTTTGAATTTTTACTTACTGTTTATATTTTTAGCCAGTTGCTTAAATTTTTGCATAATCATAAAGATTATGCTATAAAGTAATATCCAAGATTAGTGACCTTACTTCAAAAGTTTTATACCTGATATATAGGGGAAATTGGTGTGTAACAAATGTGGTGAAATTACAACATACACCATAATTGGGTTTTTAGATATTTACAGAAATGTGCTGAGCTATTGAACCTTAGCCAAACTATTTTCATTTTATGATATATACTTAACTTGTACAAGCGAAACTTTATGGCATTCTTTACATAAATTTAAGATAGGAAATACTTGATTGGTGTAACAGATGTGATACTGGTATCTTATATGGCAATACTTTATATACAGTAGATAAGACAAATGAAATATGAGCCATTAACGTTTACATTATTCAAACACCCATGATCATCATTACAAATAACTAGAAATTTTTAATTCACTTATATTTTACGAAATCATTCTGAAGACAAACAACCTTTGCTATATTTTTTTCACAAGCCAAATTTTACAAAGTAATCAGTTTATATAAAAAAGAAAGTCACCAGCTTCAGCTCAAATTAAAGTATTTATAGATTAACAATGATTCAATAAAGTTTTATTAAAAAATAAGAACACATACAAAAATATTGTTACTTAATCTATAATGAATTAAATCACAGTAATGTTCCATAAGACAAATGAACTGTAATTTGTGTGACATTAACTCTTTCAGCAACCTGGGACTAACCTCATAACCATTTTGTGCTTGTTATAGTTTTCATGCTATAACCTTTGAATTAGTAAGCGTATGTTTTTATGAAATTTCACAGAATATCAGTAAACATTAGAATGCTTTCATACGCAAGATACCAATTTTTTTATATTGAGTCTTAAGGTTTGTAAAGCAATTCTTTCTCATGCTTTTTTTTTCTTTTTGCATGTTGCTTATCCAACATACAAACTTATTTTGATTTTAAAATTAAAAATACTTTTATGCAACAGAAAATTCTCAAACTTCACATGCAAAATTTTTATAATGTCCAGATAGTTATCAAACATTTCTTATGAAAAACTTTACATTTTATCTGTTATTTTCAGTAACAAATCTCTGTACAGGTTCGGTAGATTTGACTGATCTCGTAACCACCATAAAAACAATTAGGGAAAAAATATAAATTATGCCTCTTTCACTTTAGAATGACAACAAATTATAAATGTTTAGATGAAATAGCTTAACTCTCATAATATTATACATTTATATATATATCTATCATTTTTATTATATTGACCTTTCAGCCGTGTCTGGCTAACAATACAGAAGTTACAATGATGCTGCACACGTGTACTCATGTTATTGCATCCAATAATATAAAACTGACCTTTAGTCTTTACAAAGTGATCTGTCTTGCCTGTCACATTCCAATTATTATGTATATATATATATAGATTATTGCTATTTAGAGATAAGTTCTTAAACTTCTTTTTCATAAAACATAGAACAGTACCTAAAGAAGTAAAGCAAACAATTATCTCTTCTAGGGGGACATTCTGAGCTTTCAATTGGTTATTCGTGTGATACATAGAAGCAAGTATATATAGGGGAGCGTTTCCAAAAATGGAATGAGTTGGACGGGGTGCCACTGTGTTTGATTCATTACACGAGCAATATCTTAGCAAGGAGAAAAGATAGAAGGTTCTTATTTTATATTCTAGCTTGTCAATATTGGTAATTTTGAGTTCCTGATTTGTACGAAACTAGAGACTTAGAATTTTGACATCACAAACATCTAATTTGAACTGGTGCTGCATTCAACATACCATGTGACAAACAAAAATCAATGTTTAATTGTTTTTTAATATTTACTTTCAAATTAAGAAACTGAGTAATGTTTAATACTAAAATTTGAATTATGATCTACAGTTTGATACCAAACTTATTGACTTAAATTCATGAAATAGTAGTTCAATGAAATTGTGAATGCGAGTCAACAAACGCGATGAAATGGCCTTTCACCTGTGACCCATCTGGAAAGGGTTAACAGTAAGCCTAGAAGTATGTTAGGCTTATTGCAATAGAAGCTATTTTTTGGAAAAAAATTTTACCAAAGATCTTACTTTTCATACTTTAGGATAGTATGGACAATTTCATGTTATTGGAAAGATTTTATTTTAATAAGCAATATATTACTTCATATTCACAGTGATCGCTAAGCTGCTTTAATGTTTTCACGGACCAATAGCACCAAACAAGTGAAAACATAGAGAACTATACAAATGTAACTGACGTGACCAACTTAAATACTTTCAGAAAGAAAATAACAGTAATTTCTTGTAATCATTTTTAAAGAATTATGACCACCATCCAGCTTTGTTCAAAGATTATGAAACATAAGCTTGCAAGTGTTGAAAACAATGGAAACTAAGTCATAAATTTCTTAGCAGACATTACTAATTAATTAAACATTTTTGGTAAGAAATAAAACAATTCTATTTCATTATCAATTTAGTTTTCACAAACTGAAAGCTTTAGATAAGCATTAAAAAGTTTACTATGATGCTTTATCTTTTATTTAAATAATCTAAAATGAACTAGATTTGACATTATGGTTAGGTTTCATCTTAACCATTATTTTAGATATATTTTACATGAATATGAAAAATATATAACAAATGTGTCACTTTTTAGGAAACTATAGGTGATTTTAATATTAATAAAACTTATACTATTAACCAAACAGTATCTAAATCCTTTATAACTCCAAAAATTTACACAAACATAAATTGGAGTTTTTGGAATAATTTTGTAACTCAAATGCATATTTTCATCCTAATATAACAGATAAAGTCTTTCTGATGGCACATTAAGATTGCAAAACAACAGATAAGCTTTTGACATAAGTATTTTACTACACAAAATAAAATACAATGCTGAAATCTTACATATTTTCAGGTTTCTGTGGCTTTTTATTTACTGTCTAACAGCTGACATTTGGATACTTTGCCATATTTACTAGGTGCTTATTCTCTCTGTATGAACGTCCCATTAAAGTCCAACCAAAGCAATTACAGCATAAATTCACTATATCAAGCACTTTATTGGCATTGTTCAATAAAATTAGACTGATATAATTTCCAGTTCAACACCCTAAACTACAAGTAATCACTGTATAACTGATCAATCAATTTATATTGGGATGGATCTCCAATGCTTTACACTTTTTTTTATTACTGATAGTGTTTTTTAATTTGAACTACTAAATACACACACACGTATCAGTAAATACTATGCATACTTACAATGATACTCATCTTTTCTGAAGCACTAATTAAATACATAATAATTTTAACAAAAGCAAGAACAGATCAAAAGTTTAGGGTTTTTTTGTATTTTTTTGCAGTTTTATATTTAGCAAATTATTATAATACATAAGAAGTTTGCAAATTTCAAAGAAGACCTGTTAAAAAACATTTCTCGACACAGCAATAAACCTACCTATGATAGTGTGATGACAAGTTGTTTTTGTTTTATTTTCTTTCAAACCAGAGTTGCACATAAAAAGTAGATAAATACAATGACAGATATTAAAAAAAGCTATTTGAATTGAAATAGTAAAAACAGCTTAGGTTTTTTTTATTGGTCCAACATTTCGGCTATATATTTTCAGGAGGTCTATTAATAGTGACAAACTTTAAAATTACAGAAGAACAATCTAAAAGGCATGAACTACAGAATAATGTCACTATAGGGAAAACTTATAGATGAATGAATAACTGAACTGTCTCCTTCATTTGATATTTAGTTTTTCACCATAAACAGAACTTCTGAAGACTGCTTATAGCTCCAATAAGTTAATATTGATTTTAGTCTCTCAAGGGTTACAAGATCATTTCTTTTATGAACAAAACATGTGCACTATACTTCAATCACACTGGTGTAAAAGAGAATGTTTAGAAACTCATTTACAATAATTGGTAAGCAATAAGCCTTTCATCATTATTAAAAATGTAAATTTCACAATTTATTTAGGAAAAAAATCAATAATGTATGATATTGCCATATTTAAAAATAATAAAACATTCCTTGACAATCTGTGTAAAGTTATTGTTCCGAGTTATGAATACATATATACACAGATTGATTTCAGGAGAAACTGATCAGCTGGCCAACAACAATCGCTAATTTGGCTTTCTACCCTTGAAACCTGTAATTGTAACCCATATAGGTTCAATCTCTTGACTATTATCCCTTGTATGTAGCCATTTCACCCCTTCTTTTGAAGTCTATTACTATTAAACAAATAATAAAAGCATTATTTTTGGAATTGCCATACCTACATCACTTTACATTTACAAACAAGAAGATATGGATGATACAGCTTCAATATTAAAATTTAATGTTACACTGTAAAATGCAGAAGTACAAAATGGTTATGTCAGTTAATACGAACAACATCATAGAAAGAGTCTGTAATAATCAAGACATGTTTTGACTCAACTTGGTTTTCCTTGTAAACAAGTCCTAGGCTCTTAGTTACACTATATTGATGCCTACCCTGACATTACTATGATATTATGATAAACAAACTGCATACCAACAGTCGTTAATATATAACTGACTGAAAGCTAGTGTATTCTATGAATGTGTATAATAAAAGTTAATATTATGTGCATTGATTTTTTTACTCCTTCACTTCATAAATAATATAAGAGTTGTCTCCCAAAAAACACCAATTCTATAGTGTACAAAGCAATGAATATTCTACATTTTACAATCATCTAATGTTCACCTATTATAATGGCTGGTAATTCCTGTTTGACCCAATACTTAAGCTTTTTAAAGGAACACCAGATTTCTGTAAAAAAGCTAACTTCAAGGGATGATTATAACACTAGAATTAGGATTACTTATAAATTACTACTAGTTATTATGACTAAGTGATGACATTGTGCACTGCCCAGAAACACAAAGTGGATTTAAGTTTAAACTGACATTAATGATAAAGTAGTTGTAGAGTTATCTGGACTGAAACAAGAAGAAAGATGAACAATTTAATGGGTTGGTCACTTTCTGGTTTGGTATCTTAGCGATAGTTTCTCGCCTTGTTGGGTAGAGAAACAAATGAAAGTGAGTGGCAATCATCTTTTACAGTAAAACTCTGTCATTGTTGATTTTTTTTATTGTGAATATTTGTATTATGCCTATAACAGTGTTCTTGTTTTATGATAACTTATAACCTGAAATTTCAAAATAACTGTTTGTATCAATATCCTCAAAGTCTAACCAGGTTTCAGTAATTCCCATTAAATAGAGCCTTGAAATAATCATATTTGTTCTCAATACTCTTAACATTAGAAAAATAGCTAAGTTTATTCTTGAATCTACTGTTCTTTTTTTGAATATGTCAAGCTTCTTTAACCAGCTCTTCCAATTTACAGTTTCCATCATAACTTGCTCTTACACGTACTACAAAAAAGAATGCTCCTTGATACCAGCAACTAAACTGTCAACAACCACTATAACAATTTCGCACCTAGCAAGTGATTTATAGTTCTAGTCTTTCTATGCTCCCTACTACAACTATCAGTATACTTAATGAGAGATTGTCCACTATATAAACCCAGTGAACACCTCACTCCTCAATGCAAGCAGCCTGAATGCTAACTGAACCTCTCTTTGTTGTTTTAACTTTTTTACTACTGTGCACTCTCATTCTCACCCTTCCTCAAAGCAACCTTTACCCTAATTCTATTCAATTATTGTCTTACTTCCTTGATTTCTACTCCTAATCTACTATTTTCTCCCACTTATAGTATAATCTTCACCAAATCTACCTCTAATTTATCCTTAAATAAACAAGCGCTGCAGTAGAACTGAACCAAAGGAAAAACACATCTGAAACAGAGAAGAAAAGGTGAAACACTGTTGAGCAATAAAAATAAAAAGCATTTAGATGGGTTAAATATGGATTAGTTTTGTTGTTCTATGTGATAGTTTCAATGGGTAGAAATGGTGTTGATATTTAAGTGCAAAAGATACAAAATGGGCTATTTGCATTCTGTCCATCATGGAGAATTGAACCCTGGATTTTAGCATTGTAAGTCAAGAAAATGACTGCTAACCCACCAGTATACTAATGCATAAAAAGGTGATCATAGTGAGCCAAACTGTTTTTTTGTTATATTACATGTGCTCATGCTCACATCTGTAATTTATTACTAAATATAAATATTTCATTGATACTTACATAAATACAAGTCACATAAGTATGGGTTTAATTTATGAAGTTCTAACTATCTACTGCTGATATTTCAATTTTTGTCTTGCATACATTATCTGTTATATTTTAATCTTATTAAGATATTAGTTTTTTATTTTTTTATTTCTAGTCTATCTGCTTTAATTGTTTTATATACTACAACTACAGATTTATCATCAGTTCAAAATTCTGGAATTGGCCAAGTCTACATTTGTCGACATGTATATGTTATGCCAGTGAAGATGCTAACATGTTTAGTAACTTATTGCAACTAAACTTAATGAAATTAAAAGTAGAAAACCTTAAAAGTACGACAATTTTACAAAGTTAATATGGAGAAACAATAAATAAAGTCAATATACTATAAAAGCTTTACAGCTTGAATAAACTCTCTCTACATTTTCAAATATTCAATTTGATTTATTAATGTTATGATTATGCCAATATTAAATTACTTGTATACTGGCATTGCCTTTATTTTCTAATTCTAGATCAAAAAATCACATCAAATTTCATGTCTAATTTGTGTGATTTATGCAATAATCATTTCAAAACTGTTCAAATTCTTTAAACACACTTATATACTAACATTACCTCAGCCTTTTAGTTTTATTATATAATTATATATACTAAGCTTGGCATAACATGTAAAGATAATTACACTTAAATTTTCATTAATGTATTATAATGATTTTGACTTGCGATACTTTCTTAGTTACTCCAAGTTATACTTCTTGAAAGTTAAAAATGTCACTCGTCATCAGTTTTACTGTTACTACTAGTGTTAGTGTTATAACGATCTTATTTACAATTCCAGTTGTTCTTTGGAAACTGGCTTAAATTTCAAGTCACTTATTTTCTCCATCCATAATAATTAATATTACTTAGACACACTTGCAACAGTATACAATATCACACATTCTAGACCAGAAAGCTGAACTTATTTACCAAAACCAACATTTAGGCTTAACGACACCATGAAACGGAAAGTGGTTCATTTAAACCACTACAGCAGTTGAAACCCTAACATATTAATACTAATATGGATGAACACATACAAACCTGGCTTCCCCCATAAGTCTAACATTTGTCGATGTTTCACATCACGATCAAACTACTTAATAACTCTTGAAATTCAAATTAAACTTATATTTATTACTATTTGCAAAGAATAAAGTGTACAATTCCCATCTTTTCTCCACAAAGCTCACCCTACCTTTTCACAGGAAATGACGATTTAAACTACTCACATATATGCCACGCCCAGGTATTTTGCGTATAGATAATAATTAATAAATCATAATTTTAAAATTCACGCACAATGAATTAAATGGTAAATTATGTATAATACAAAATACAGTCAATTTTATTTCAGTATTTTTTCTCTGCAAATCAACAATAAAAAAAATCTTGGTCTCAAATTTTTCGACAAAAAATACGGCGGTAAAAGATTTTTTTAATGTGGCTATAAAGCAGCTTCTTTCATTCTCCAAATCGTGATTTAAATTCATTATGTCCCTTGAATAAAGAAACTGAAAACACTCATATTACCTACTGTCGACTCAGAAAAGATATTTGAGGTAAAATTTTGAACTTAGAGACCTGGGCAGACCCATCAACCACAAAAAATGACAAAGTATTTGTTCTTCAATAAAATCATGTATGAAAATATTGTTACGACAGCGGGGATAACGTGACTCTGGTAACACGTCATAATCTCGAAGGTTTCTGAATGCTCTAGCGTTTACTATATTTCGGTATTCTTTTA